CTCTCTCTCTCTCTCTCTCTCTCTCTCTCTCTCTCTCTCTCTCTCTCTCTCTCTCTCTCTCTCTCTCTCTCTCTCTCTCCGTCCTGAGTCCTTCAGGATTCGAGCCTGTGACCTTTGTTCTGATTGAGTGTTTGTGGCTTTATCTCCGTAGTAGTCGAAACACGAGGGAGCTATGGTGAAGGAAGAGGAAGAGGAAGAAGGATGGAAAAGGAGGATGAGCAAAGCGAAGATGGTGGAGCAAAGTGAAGATGGTGTGTGGCTTCATCTCCATAGTAGTTGAACAGGAGGGAGCTATGGTGAAGAAAGAGGAAGAGGAAGAAGGGTGGGAAAACAGGATGAGCAAAGAGAGGATGGAGGAGAGCAGGTGGAGGAGTGTGGAACTAAAGAATGGAGAAGAGGATGTGGTTGAGGGTGATGAAGAGGAGAAGGGGTGAAGATGATGCAGAGGAGGAGGAAGAGGAGACAAAGGAATTGGGTGCAGAGGAGAGATGGTGGATATGGCGCGAAGGATCGTTGAGAGGTGTGAATAAAGAAGGAGAGGAGGAGGAAGACGAAGAGGAAGAGGAGGAGGAAGACGAAGAGGAAGAGGAGGAGGAGGAGGAGGATGAGCAAAGAGGTAAAGGGAGTGAAGATGGTGGAGACTCAGGAGATGGAGGAGGGAGGGGTCACGGTGGAGAAGAAGATGAGAGAGAGAGTGGCTTTGGAAAGAAAGAGGGGAGTTTAGAAAATGGAGTACGCGACCAACTGGAATAAACAAAACGCCTCGGCCCCCCTGTCTTTCTCGCGAAAAAATAAAGGCCGCAGCTCGGGGTGAAACGAAGGGCATCGCCACACTACTCTTGAAGTGCGCAAAATGAGAATGAACTTCCCGCTAGAACATGGTCCGATGCATCCGCCACATTATTGTCATTTCACATTTTGAGAGTGGTGTGGCAAGGTCCGAAACCGCAGGTGAAACGACGAATTTGAATCAGGAAAAATGCAAGAGCGGACAAATTCAGAAAAGCAAAACCAAACCCCGAAAAGGAGTCACGCTCTGTCCTACTCGCCTCCACAATCGAACGATAGCCCGGGCGAGATATTCGGCCTGATCGACGGTCTTCCCCAGATGCAAAGTCAGGTGCCGCGACGCCATTAACCGACGCGCTATGAACAATTCGGTAGAAAAAGGGCCCGGGGCTCGCCCCACCTGCTCATCCTCCAGATCGAATGGCCCGCATCAAATTTCAAACCGCTTTTTGGCGCGCAGTGGACCACAAACCCTCCCCCCCCCAGCCAATGCCGCTTAAGGGGTAGGATATATACTAATTGGCCTGGCCAGGCAAGTGGGCCCGGGCTACTCTAATATCCCAGGTTTTAAACCGCTTGTACACGGCCCAATCCTTGCAGAAAGTTTTTGTCGCCACAAGCAAAACTCAGAGGCACTGCGCGGCCAGGGGTGCCGTTGAAGGAAAAAAATCGGCGGCCTCCGAAGTGGTGTGGGTTTCATGCAGACACCTGCAGGCTGATGTGTGGTGTACTGGTGCTTTAATATAATAAATAAGTTCATGCTCAGACTCCAGCGGAAACTGGAAATTAAATTAAAGTTATTAAACGAAAAAACAAACAAACGAAATGCAGTTCAATTATTAATTTATTACATAGTAAATGGCAAAATGCATCTATTCAATCCAGAACAACACACAGCACACAGGTAAGGGAAAAGAAAGACAATTCAAGAATTACGAAAGCACATGAGATTGTAATTTTATGAGAGAGAGTGAGAGGAGAGGAAAAACGAGAATAGAAATCTAATTTTATAATTTTGTTTGAATTTTTAACCTTTAAACCACCACTACCTCTCTGAGCCTCTTGTTCCCGAGGCGGATTCCCCTTGCGCACCAAGCTTTGCTGAAACGCCAGCGCGGCGTTTTTTCTTTTTTTTCCTTTTGGCTGGCGTCGCCAGCCATTTTGGTCTGGTAGCACTGTTCATCCGAAGTCTTTGGAATGTTACATTTCAATTCTCGACATTGCCTGGGAAAGGTCATGGTGGTTGAAACCATCAGTACTTCCAAGCGGCCAAGCCTGTTCAGTTTCTGCTGTGGGCTGATTATTGTTGAACTGGCATGGGTGCCCAATTGGATTTTTTTAGCTGGCGCCGCCAGCCTTTCCAATTTGGCATGCCAAGCCCTGAAAAATGGGGTGCGTTAATGGCCGCGTTTTCAAAAAATAGCTGGGGAAAGTACTGGTGGTTTAAGGCTTTGAAAGTTGACTGCAAAAAAGTATCCCCATCCGTCCCCACCCCCCCCTTCTCTACCCGGCATCCAGCCTTTTACCAATGAAGGTATCTAGCCGACTCGTTGAAAGATCTCTGCAACTGTCAGCAAGGCGAAGAAAATGAACAGCGATCCTCCTGTGTACGCGATTACCTGGAGAGAGAGAGAGAGAGAGAGAGAGAGAGAGAGAGAGAGAGAGAGAGAGAGAGAGAGAGAGANAGAGAGAGAGAGAGAGAGAGAGAGAGAGAGAGAGAGAGAGAGGCACAAAGATGGAAAATCGTATTAAAAACACGCAAAAAGAAGAAAAAAAAACTCAGACAGAACGAATTCAAATGAGGAGTGAAGAAGGGAGGTGTGAGCTACTATACTAGTAAATGACCTCTTCAGTGAGATACCTCGAAGGGGAAGGGTTGATTTATAATTGAATGAAGTCAGGAGGAGGGCTTTGAGCAACTTCCATCAATGGCTATTTTGAAGTGTTTGGCCTTTTCTCGCTGCTTACGGTTCTTTGCACTTCATTCCCCTTTCCTTCTCCTTGCCTTTTCATTCCTTTTCCTCTTCTCCTTCTTCTCGTTGTATTCCTTCTTATGTGAGATGAGTCTTTTCTAGTCGCATCATTGACTCTCCATGAATAACACGAGTTGATAATCGATTGGGTGAATATAGTTCCAAGTGATGGGTATGACGGGTTTTGCAAGGTTGAGCATTTGCATGTAGCATTTCCTTACTGACGGTCAGTGGATCTGAGCGCAAATGTGCTGGAGCATTTGCATGTATTCTTAGATACACATCATCAGGCAGACACACACACACACACACACACACACACACACACACACACACACACACACACACACACACACACGCATGGCAATATGTACATGCGCGCACACCTAGACACACACACAATCATTTTTGTGTGCGTCTTTCTCTGTGTTCTCTGTGCCTTTCTGCCTTCAAATTTTCAAAATTTTCTTACATTTTGCCTGTCTAAGGGAGCACCTCTAAACAGTGTTAAACAGTCAATCATTCCTCGTTTGGCGGGCCTACTGCACTATTAGGGGGGCTGCTCAGTTTGGGATGCCTGTGTGACCTACGGGCGATGACGGATGTCCGTCGGAGTGTCTCTCCGGCTCGGCGGTTGGTGGGAACCAACAGTCCGTGCGGTTCACTTGTGGTGTGAGTAGCTGATGTACTGCTTTGCTCCGCGTTGGATGTGTGAACTGCATTGTTTATGCTCCGCTGTTGCCTTGCTGTGCATCCTGCTTGCTCCCCTTGTCGTTCTTTGCAGCCGGTGTTGCTGTACTTTGGCTCCGTTGTCGGTGTTGCCTTGTGCTTTGCTGCACTGTTGCCTTGCTGCCCATCAGTGTAATTTGTCTTTTTTGGCAGTGCTGCCTTGTGCTCCAGTGTGTTGTTGCCATTTTGCCCGTCTGCTTGTGCCATCATGCCATGCAGTGGCTTTGGCATTAAGCAGTTGGGTTGCCTAGACAGCGTTGCCTGGTGCTTCGCTGAGCCGTTGCTCGCTGCTAAGTTCCACTTGTGGTGTTGCATTTGCCAGTCTTCTTTCAACAAGGGTCAAAGGGTTCATGACCCAAAGCATCAATATGGGGCTTCCACAGATTGTCGAGGGTTCAGCCTCCTGATGGGTCGGTGCAAGTCCGACGAAACAATCTCGCATTATCAGTTTTTATTTTTTCCGGTCTTTACATTTTTTGGGACTCACATTTTTTCTGGTTTGCCTGTTTTGTGTGATTGTGTGACATCTGCCCTCCCACTTCCTGTGTGCCCTCCAGCTTTGGTCCTGTGCTGCTGCTCGTCGTTCTATGCCTTGTCGGTTGTCTTGCATTGCTTTCTTTTTTGGTTCACTGCCGTGTGTTGTTTGTCTGCCCACTCGCCTCCCCCGTGCCCTCGTGCCTATATGCCTCGGCGCTGCCTGCCATCCAATGCCTTATTGTCTCATGTGTTTTCCATTGCTGTTTCTTGTCTGCCTTGCAGTTGCCTTGTGCAGTTCGTGTACGCACCCGACTTCCCCGTCCCCTCCAGCCAATGTGCCTTGCTGCGGTCTATTGTGCAATGCCTAGTTGCCTCCCTGCCTTGCCGTTTATTGTCATTTTTTTTGCTTCCTGCTTCATTGCCTTGGACGTCTGATTCCTGAGTTGGTCCTCTTCATGGTTCTCTGCTGGCATCTGGTTATTGGCTGTTTGGATTCCATCATGATTTTTTTTCCGATCTGTTAAATATAGAACACTCGGTTTGGGATGACCTGTTTGGTTGGCAAACACGGTATTCTCTGTTCTGCTGCGTACCGTGGGCAGCTGTGCACACACATGGACACACAAACATGCACACACACACACACAGCCGGCGCCACGACAGTTTGGGTCACTGGGACAAAAGTTGGTGCCCTAGCGTTCTGGTGGTGAGAAGGAGAAAGGTGGTGATGAACGGGGAGACCTTGGGAAAGAGGAAACTGTGGAGAAGGGAAGAACTGGCGGATACTTACGTGGCGGTTGGCAGGGTGAGCTCCAGCAGGGTTAGGTTCTCAACTTGGTCATGAGCAGAAGTGAAAGTGGCATGGGACTCTGCGGCATGACACGTTGTAGTATAGGATAGAGTACATGATAGAGCAGGTGGTCACTACCGCCTTCACCTGAATAGAACGCACGGGGGTCACTTCCAGTCCAGATGTGGTGATAATGACCAGGCGTTCTATTTGGGTGAAGATGGTAGGGCTGGTACAAAGACCAGGGATCGAAGAGAAGTACGACTGTTATTTAATTGGTTGCTGCAACTTGCTGGAGGCGCGAAAAGGGGCTTTAATCATCAGTTTAATTCTGCTAGTTGCCTTGTTCCCATCTGCAAGTTGGTCATGTGAAAGTTCATGGTGCATGTGGTCTGTGTTTGTCCACAGGGCAGGTTCCTTGCGGATGGGCATCTTCTTCTCATAAAACCAATAATGCACTGAAACTCTCCAAAAGGAATATGAAATGAGCCATCCCGAGCACACATAGACCATAATAAAAAAGAAGAGGCAAAGGATTTGCGCATGATATAGTACCTTCTCTGATAAAACACCACTCAGAAGTGACCCGCCTAGTACCGCAATCTGCAAAACACACACATGCCGCCCATCGAAGCACGTAGCTTTAGGGCTGTATTTCATATGGAATATTTTAGAAGCCTGTGTGGGGCCAAACATTTGTTTCGAGGGGATTGTTGCAGAAAGAGGCCACATACTGGCAACCAGGATTTCATGATAGGCCGTGTGGGATCTTCATGGGCGGATCACCGGAGCAGTCCTGGCCTTTGGTTAGTGTGTTGTCAAAGAACCCCAAACTCTCTCCTCATAGGATGAGCAAGCGAGTGAGTAGGCGGACAGGCAGGCAGGCAGGCAGGCAGGCAGGCAGGCAGGCGGGCAGGCAGGCAGGCAGGCAGGTAAGCGGGCAGACAGGTAAGCAGGCAGACAGGTAAGCAGGAAGGCAGGCAAGCAGGCAGGTCAGGAGGTAGGAAGCAGGCAGGCAGGCAGGCAGGCAAGCAACCAAGCGAGCAAGCGAGCGAGCCAGCCAGCCAGCCAACAGTGAGCCAGCGAGCAAGCGAGCGAGCCAGCCAGCCAGCCAACAGTGAGCCAGCGAGCAAGCCAGCGAGCGAGCAAGCCAGCAGGCAAGCGAGCGAGCAAGCAAGCGAGCAAGCAAGCGAGCAAGCGAGCGAGCAAGCCAGCAAGCAAGCGAGCGAGCAAGTGAGCAAGCAGGCAGGCAGGCAGGCAGGCAGGCAGGCAGGCAGGCA